TTTTTTTTGTACTAACTTCAAATACTCATTACAATAGTCTCCAAGAGATACGTACGTGCACTGTCCACACGGCATCCTATGAAGCAATGCAGCAAGACAGTTGAACAGGCTCATTGCTGACGCTATGCAAAAAATTGCTATCATAACGTAAACTAGAAAAGAACAAGATAGATATTAATTCTTTAGCTCTCTCTACTAGATCATATTTTCAATGTAATAATTATATTGTTATCTAAAGTAGCTGCTAAGCTGCAAGTGTTTTAAAGCAGGGTATGTTACGTGTGGCTTTAGTTCCATTAAATGCTACCAGGGCTGCTTTAAGTGGCTGAAGATGATTCTACATTTTCCTATTATTCAATAATTCAGAGTGACATGTCTGTTACACGTTTCTATGAGGTGAACTACGTGTATTTATAAATGTAACTTAAGTGCACGAACAGAAGGGCGGGTGAACCTTTGTGCATGTGTGTTTGCACATATGTGGGGGCACACACACGTAGGCAGGCATGTGCAGGGGCCAGAAGACAACCGCAGTTATTATTCCTCTGATGTCTTATTTGTCTTTTGTTTTATTTTTGAAACAGGGTGAGTCACTGGCCTGTGAGTTGTTTGCCAAGCAGACTATGCAGACTGGCCAGCAAGCTCCAAGGATCAACCTGCCTTTACCCAGTGCTAGAATTACAAGACTGTGCGGGGGGGGGGGGGAGGGAAGGGAAAGGTCTACCTGGGTTCTAGGACCGAACTCTAGTCTTGTCTGCACAGTAAGCGCTTTCCCAACTGGGCTACTCCTCCAAATCTTTTGAGTCTTGAGATTTGTGGCATGGAGTTGAAACTGGGCTTGAACTTTCTGTACAGTCAAGAATGACCTTGAAAACCCTGAACGCCTGATGCTTCTGTCTACCTCCCGACAGCTGGGGTCACAGGTGTGCTCCTCCACATCCGGCCTATTTGACACGTGGAACTGCATTGGAGCTTTGTGCGTCCTAGGTCAGTTCTCTACCAGCTGAGTTATACCCTCAGCTGGGTTAAGAAACCAAAAAATTTCGTAGCGCTGGCTGGTTGAGAACTTGCTATGTAGATCGGGCTAGAATTTGTAGAGATCTACCTGCCTCTGCCTCGCTAGTGCTGGGAATAGAAGTGTGTGCCACTGGGCTTGGCCTTGGATTCATAAACTATTAAGATTTTTTTTTTTTAAAGAAATGCAATCTAGGTATGAAAACAAATAGCTGCCTTTTGGATATCAATCATGTTATCCATGCTTTCCTATGGGGAATTTATCTGTAACAATTCGACCTATGTTAAAACTGTTAAAACCAAATCCAGCCAGGCATGTAAGCCACCAACTCAAGACTACTACAGAGAAGGTACCAGACTAGCCAGAGCTGCACAGCAAAATGGTGCCTTGAGAAAACAAACACACAAGTCCATTCAAGGAAACATCTTTGTTGCATCAGGATGCCAAGGCAGTAAAATTTGACAGGCATTATACACTATCCAGATTTATTTGAAAATTATTTCGAGATATTTTACCACTGCATTGTTAAAAGGGAGGAGTCATTATAATTTCCAATATTCCTTTTCTGAACGTTCAAGAAAATATTGTGATGAGAAATACAAGTAAGTTTGGGGTGCTTTGGTTTTGCAGGGAGCTGGATAAGCCACTCTAAGTCCCCGTTACGCCTATCTACCAGGTCAAGTTCATGAAGAGTATCCTGGGTGGTTGCAAGAATGAGATAAGCTAACGTACATGAAGCGCGGGGACAAAGCACGAGTCGATTACTGGTTCTGGGTGGTAGGAGCTGTGAGACAGACACGTCACGGACGGTCAGCTGGAACCCAGGCCTGACAACCTGGTGGAGTCCGTATCTCCTGAGGGCATCCTGGAGCTTCAGTGCCTCAGTGCCTCAGCCAACAGGGCGCTACCACTTCGGAAATGATTCCACGTGGGGAAGAACTTGATTTTCGTAACTTGGTGCCAGTTAGTCTTGTTTTAAATGAACCAAGTTGACCGGAAAGCACTCTCAAGAGCAACATTAATTACTTTAAGCATCTCTTAATCATAAAACGGCAGGGAAAGCCTTAGCAATTCAGTACCATTCTGCCAGTTGTAATAATATGCTAGGAAATAGCAGCCACCTTAGCCATGAAGACTCATTTAAGGTAAACAAAACCTCTCAATACCACACAAAACACTAACCAATCGTAATTTGACACTATGTCCTGGGATAATTAGGAGATTGAATGATTTCCTTCTCACATCCAAAATTTCACTTGTAAACAGGGTAAGTAGAATAAGTTCAAAAAAAAAATTCTCACTAGAAATTAAAATATGCTTTAGGGTAGAATAAATGTCTTCTTTAAGTTATTTTTACTTTAATTATGTGGTTACATGAATATCTCTGTGTGGGTATGTACATGTATGTCCAAGTGCCCAAGGAGGCCAGAGGCATTAGATCCCCCTGGAGCTAGAGTTACAGGTGGTTGTGAAGCTGCCTGACACGGTGCTAGGAACCGAACTCGGATCCTTGATAAGAGTAGTACATGCTCTTAACTGCTGAACCCCAATTTTTTCTTTTTTGAGATAGGGTCTCACTACACAATTCTGTAGTCTGTGCTGGTCTAGAATTTACTATCTAGGCTGGCCTCAGCCTCGTGAGAACATATATATGTTATCATCATATTTGAATTTTAACTATCTGTGTAATTGAAACCTGGCATTTTTGCCATGTTAAGCAGATCATATACTTGTTTTCCAGGTGAAATGTTTTAAAGGGAAACATAACTCTAACACTGTAAATGGGGCGGGAGGGTATATGCTCAAAGCAGCACGCATAAAAGCCAGCTTCTTACCAAGCCACTTGTAGAAAAAGTAAAGTAAGACGATCATTACACAGCAGATGACCACAAACACAATCACTGTAAGAGGGCTGAAGGTTAAGTACTCTTCCTTCTTCTTCCTCCTCTCTTTATCCTCAGTGTCGGCTGCGGCCTTCATGGTTTCCCTGGACAAATACACACAGGGAAACAGCAAGCCTTTACCAAGTGTGGTTATTTTTTAAAAACCCCTTCCTAACACCAATTTAATTTTAATTACAAAGGTAATGTACTTAAAAAAAATAAATGCCAAAAAGAAATATTTAATCTAAAAACTAAAACAACCTGTATTCCTACTCTTCAGAGATAATGTCATTACATGGCTGTGAAATAAGATTTTTTTAATGAAAACAAAAGTGTTAGGACGGATGGTATTTATTATATTAACAAATTAATGTTTACAGATGCTCTTACAACCAAGTTGGAAGAAGTATTTATGTTGACATAATAAGTTTTAAGATACAAACTTACAAACAGCATTACTAACCTACAGACAATAACGTATTTCTAAAATTAGTTTCTCTCAAGAGTGAACATTAAATTCTCCTACGAGCAAAGTCAGTATTTACTCTTATGTCTATTCTGTGTTCATTGATGTAACTTCAAGAATTTTTTAAATTATTAGATACAGTCCTACTCGTTACTTTCCATGGATTCTTCCAGCGAGTCCCCTCCTTCAGTAGCCTCCACTGTCAGCCTCATTGTCCCTTCCCAGTTACACAGAACCTACTCTGTGTTCCCAGCCCTAATTGTTTCACCTCTGCCCGGTTAAACTCTCTGTCATGCATCTTCCGGCCCCGGTTCTTAAGTCCAGGGTCACTGCAGATTTTAGGCTAAATAAAACTTTGGGGTCTAAAATTTGCACATTTGCAATTGTTAATCAACACACTACTTTGTCATTGGGGAATTACTGATGACTGGCATAGTCACAAGGGTGTGCCATCTGTGAGTCTGGACAGGTTGCCTGGAGACAGGGCAGGAGGCACCTACACCTCCCCTAGAACTCTAGCTCAGGACGTCAGGGCATTATCAGAAATTTTAGTAATGTGATATGTAAGTGGGGAAAGGCACCAAGCTTTGATATCTGTCATTGAAAATAAACTTTAAAAATTTACTGTAATGCACATGCAAGTCATAGTGATCCACGTTTTCATACTCCATGTATTAGAAAGCACAACGCACTCCCCCTTCTAAAACACACTCTTGCTATAGCTTGTAGCACAGGCTGGCCCTGAACTTACTATGTAACCCGGGGCCCTTCAGACTCATGATCCTCTTGCCTCAGATTCCTGGGTATGCACCACCATACCTGACAGAAGGGAGGGGCTGCCCTGGGATAGAGCCAGATGTAGCCCAGGCTGGGCTGGAACTCACTATGTAGTGAAGGATGACCTCCACCTCTCAAGCGCTGTGATTACAGGCATGGACATGGCTTTCATTAACAATATCTTGAAAGGGAGCCAACTACCATATATTGAATTTACCATATATTACATCCACACACATTAAATATTACCATTAATTGTATTCTTTTGAGAGTGCAGTGGCTTAAACAACTAGGCAAAAGTTGTTCAAAAACACTAGGCAAAAGCTCTTCCACTGAGCTACATTCCCAACACAAACTATGAAACTGTACTCTGTGTGTGTGTATGAAGCCACAGGTGTGTGCACGCATGCACCTGCCACAGTGAATACTTCACACTCGTGCAGTGAGTACTTCACCCACTGAGCCATCTCACCAGCCTCCCCCGACTGCTTGATGTGACTATGTGATGCTTGACCTATCAACAAATAATTCAGGTGCCTACAACTTTCCTATTAGTCTAAAAAGAAAGACAATCCTACAATCTGGTCTTATTGGCACTATATGCTGAGATCAGAAAAAAAAATTAAATATTCTTGTTATTAAGATTATCATGAAACATTAGTTAAAGCCAGTTATCAGGAAGCCATAAAAAGTTTAGCTAAACTTACAATTCAATGAGTCCACTCCAGTATCCTCCTAATGCCACAGTGAACACAGCAATTACAAAAATAACCACCATAGTATAGTCAAAGTCATGCCAGGATGGAGAATACATTTTCACGGTAATGTTATGTCCAAGAGTCTGAAGAGCAAAGTGACAGTTAAACACAGGAATGAATCTCCCCAGTTGGAGCACAGCAGCGACAACTACATCTTATGCCAGGGCAGACAGACACTTCATCACCCAGCTGAGAAGACCAGACAACAAGAGGCTATTCAAGGCCCTTCAAGCTTCTTGTTAGCAAGTGGAGGATGAGTAATAATCAAAATTAACTATAGTGATTAGAGCCGGGTGGTAGTGGTGCACACCTTTAATCCCAGCACTTGGGAGACAGAGGCAGGTAGATCTCTGAGTTTGAGACCAGCCTGGTCTACAGAGCAAGTTCAAGGACAACCAGGGTTACACAGGGAAACCCTGTCTCAACCAAAAGAGAAGAAAAAAAAAAAAAAAAGATAGTGATTCAACATAAACAACTGTACCATTTATAAACATCTAATATGCAATTATTAACTTACCTGTTCCATATCTTTAAAGTCTTTTTGGCTTATAACTGCAATTAGTATAGTCACATTTTGGAATTCAGATCTGTTCCTTGAGGAAGGAAACTACAAAAAAGAAATATGAAACTTGATTAGCTATACAAATATTATATTGAATTCTAAAAACAAATATTCATTACTCTTTCTTAATATATAAGTTTTCAAAATGTAATCCCTTTAACATGAACGTCAACTGTTATAAGTCATATGCTACACATGACACCATGCGGTACAGACGGTACATAGACATACAACACACATAGCACATTTGTGTCCAACCAAGTCATCTCAACTCGAGAAATACAGCAAAAACTACGAAACTTTTCAATCAGAATGTTTTATTAATAAATATAGAATGTTTATAAAAAATAATCTACACAATTACTAAAACTTCAGCTTCTAGAATGCACACAAGAGCTAACTCAGTCCCTGGGAGACTTGGTGTTAGGGGCCCAGTTGCAGTTACTCCGTTTTAGGACTTACTGGGACGCTGCTGTTGGCAATCAGCAATGCTTCAGCACCACCTTCCTGTGCAACTTTGGCTTTTTCAAGAAAATGGCAGGGTCCCCGTTGTACCACCACTGCTTTGTTCTTTATGCCACCGGGAGGAATATCAGAAGGGTGGCACAGTGGCGTGCCAGTCAGATTCATCAAGCTGAGAGCAGTCTGAAAAGGAGAAATGTTTTTAATAAGACACACACTTTATTTCACCTGACAGCCTTTGGCAAGGCGACTCCAACACTGCTTGGGCACAATGTTAGTTACTTCTGGGGGTGGAGCTCAGGGGTGCAGCGCGTACTTACTATGCCTGAGCTAACCGACAAAAACAGCTTCATGACAACAAGGATTAGAGGTACAAATTTCAAAATTCTCTAAATCTGGGGCTGGAGAGATAGCTCAGCAGTTTAGAATATTGGTTGCTCGTCTAGAGGACCCCGGTTCAATTCCCAGCTCCCACTTGTCAGCTCATAACTATCTGTAACTCCAGGCATCTGACATCCCCATGTGACCTCTGCAGAAACACAGACATACATGCAGGCAAAACACCTACACACATAAAGCAAAAGAAATAAAAATGAACCTTAATCATGCCCAGCACAGTGGCACATGTCATTAACACTAGCACTTTAGAACCAGAGACAAGCAGAGCTCTAAGACTTTGAGGCCAGCCTGGTTGACATAGTGAGTTCTAGGCTAGTCAAATCTATTTAGTGAAACCCTGTCTGAGAAAAAAAAAAAAAAAAATTCCCTAAATCATTTCTTTTATGGAGAGAAAAACACTTGACCAGAGTCAATCAAGTATTTATTAGTCTCCAAATATTACAACTGATTCACACCCTAAAATATAGTTATTGCTCATAGTCAATATTTTTAATATTATGCACAGTCATCATCTGTATTTACTTACTGCATTTCCTAGGGAGCCTGGAAGCCGTGTCCAGCTGGGGTCATAACGCATGCAGTAGTCCCTGGAAAGTGAAGAGTTGCCTGCTGCGGACGCGTGCAGGATGGCTTCCTGAGCAGCTGTCTAAGACACAAACAACTCTCATGGTGCTGGTCATAATCAGGCTGGCGGGCAACTAAGGATTTCAATGAAACTATTTATATGTGAGTTTGGTGGCATTTCCTAAGAAGGGTAAGTCTTCCACTGAGTTTATTTACTCATATTTCAATGGCTCAGGAATAATGAGATTACACTGGTCTAGAACTCATTCTTCGAGGAAAGGGAGTCACTGTCTTATAAGACTGACCCTGGCCTTGTTTTAAAGGCCACAGCCCTGAGACAGTTGTTGCTGTGATGTAATAATGCCAGTCTGCCCTCTCAGCTTGACACTTTCCTCCCGGCTCTTTTATGAGTTATGACTTCATTGTTCACATTCATCTAGGAAGATGTACTCAAAACCTCTAGTACTTCTACCTAGGATTAAAGAGACATGGGATAAGATAACAATCTGGAATTTAAAAGCAGTTTTTACTCAAGTCTTCAGCAGTCTTCAACTGCCTATCCAAATACACCAATGCAGAGTTTAAGATAAAAATTACCTGGTGGGTTCCAAGGCACACGCCTGTAATCCCAGCACTCAGGAGGCAGAGGCAGGCAGATCTCAACGAGTTTTGAGGCCAGCCTGGTCTACAGAGTGAGTTCCAGGAGAGCCAGAGCTGTTACAGAGAGAAACCCTGTCTCGAAACAAACATAAAAATGCCAAGCATGGCGCTCATGCCTTCAATCCCATTGGTCAGAAGTCAGAGGCAGGTGGATCTCTGTGAGTTTTGGGAAAGCCAGGGTTACACAGATAAACACTGACTCAAAACAATCAAAAATGATGAAACAAACGAACAAATGGAGAGCTAGAAGGGCTGGCAAGATCGCTCAGTTGGCAATGGCACTGGTCACCAAGACTGACCATCTGATCCCAGGACTCACATGGGAGATGGAGAGAAATAACTTCCAAAAGTTGTCCTCAAATAAGGACACATATGCCCTGGCATACACAACATACCACCTCCAAATAAATAAGATAATTAAAAAAAAAAAAAAAGAGCTAGAATACTTTCCGTTTGTCTTCTTTCCTATTGCCTAGAAAGACAGGGGAACAGGTACAAAGTGATAGGAAATGGTAATGTACACAAAGGTGAGAAGAGGGAGACATGCAGAGACACCCTCAAATGTTCAGAATACTGCTCCCATCACCCACCTCCTTCAGTATGGCTTCTTCCCATCTTCTCTGTGAGCAGATTTGTTTCAAAAGCCACAAAGAAGAGCAAGAGGTCCAGGGAGATGTGTGAAAACACAAACAGCCAGCTGAGCACGGTGGCACACACCTGTAATCCCAGCACTCAGGAGGCAGAGGCAGGCAGATCTCTGAGTTTGAGGCTAGCCTAGTCTACAGAGTGAGTTCCAGGACAGCGAGAAATACACAGAGAAACCCTGTCATTAAAAAAAAAAAAATGTTGTTTGTTTGTTTTTCAAGACAGGGTTTCTCTGTGTAGCCTTAGCTGTCCTGGACTTCACTCTGTAGAAGACTAGGCTGTCCTTGAACACAGAGATCCTCCTGCCTTTGCCTCCCAAGTGCCGGGGATTACAGACACGCCCCATCACTGAGCAGCTAAATCATTCTTCTTGTTAAGGTGATTTTCTCAGGCGTTTTGTCATAGTGACAGCAGGCTAACTAACAGAGAAAAATAACAACACAAGGAGAGGTTGTTGCTTGTGACTGACTATAGCTGCTAACATACATCATGGGCCTTTGCAGAAGTCTGGGGTTTGGAGGCTAGAGAAAGCATACAATGCTGCAAAAAAAGAGCTTATCAAGGCCATTCTGGGGAGACAACAGAAGAGCAGAATGCTGACAGAAATACAGACAGTAAAAAGGCATGCTCATGATAGAATGTTGGCTCTATCTGGAATTAGGCTAAAAGCAATGCATGGACACTGTGGCAAAGAACTTGTCTTCATTTTGTCCATACTCTAACTCTGTGGGAAGCTGGGTCTAAAGGACTAACCTGAAAGAAGCAATGCCCAGGTAGCACAGGGTCAGACTCTATCACAGCGGTATTACTGCATGCTTCAGTAAGATTTACAATGAGAACTGGGAGCATAGCTACCACAAAAAAATATTTGGGAACCTTGCAGTTTGTCTAGAAAAGGGATATGTTTAAAGTTGCAACCAAGGAAACCTATCACCCATCACACCTCCAAACATTAAACAACAACAACAACAACAAAAAACTTATTCCGGAGTAGACTAGGGATTTGGCTCAGTTGGTAGAGCACCTGCCTATCATTCATAAAGCCTTGGCTTTGAGCACAGTGCTCTATGCCTACAAACCCTGCACTCTAGACAATGGTCATTCTTGGGGAGCTTAAGGTCAGCCTGGGCTACACATGACCCTGTTTCAGGGAAAAACAAACACACACAAACAGGGCCAAATACTTCACATGAGGACAGTACTTAAAACTAGCTCGCTAAAGCTGGGCAGTGGTGCATGCCTTTAGTCCCAGCACTTGGGATGTAGAGGCAGATGGATCTCTGTGTGTTTGAAGCCAGGCTGGTCTACAGAGAATGTTCCAGGACAGCCAGAGCTACACAGAGAATCAAAAAACAAACAAAAAGAAAAAAATGTTAACTATGTAACCCATTGCCCTTTCCATGCCACCCATTACATATTCCACCTTCAGTAACAACCACCATGTGGATTTATCAGTTTTTGTTTGTTTGTTTCCTTGAGTCAGGGTTTCTCTGGGTAGCCCTGGCTGTCCTGGAATTCACTCTGTAGACCAAGGCTGGCTTCAATTACACAGAGATCTGCCTGCCTTTGCCCCACAAGTGCTGGGATGAAAGGCATGTGCCGCCACTACCCAACAACGTGGGTTTATCAAGAGTTGGTCTTTCTTGGAACTATAAGTATGTAAACATTTTTTCTTAAGCATCTTAAGAGATTCAATGAATGCTAAGTTTAACATATAGGTTACAGGCTCATGACATCTACACACCCTCTGAGGTGTTCTTTGGACCTAAATGTTACTATCTGATTATCCAGTATATACCTTAAAGACACAAAGTAATGCTGCTGTGCTATTATTCTCTCCTCAAAATACTTTTTGCATGAGCTCTCTCCTGTATAATCCTAATGCTGTTCCAGCGAAGTTTTGAGAACACCAAAGGTTACTTTTCTTTTCTTTTTTTTAAACAGTTTTGGGTTTAGACTTTCTCAAAGACCTTTTAAAGCTAAAGCGCAGAGTAACAAAATACAGTCTCTCAGAGAAGTTACACTTTCTAAGGGTAGTAAGCGCATACGCTGTTTACACAACAGCGTGCAAACACTGGTAAAAGTTCCCAACATGAAACTCCAGAAAAGAAAGTGAAAAGAAACAAAATCTGCAACACTAAAAGACAACTTCCTGGTCACATACTGGAGCTCAAATTACTTGATGCTTAATTTGAAAACATTATTTCTGCAAATATGGGTATGTGTGCACATATTTGGTGTTTGTTTTTTTTTTTTTTTTCTTAACCAGACTCCCACCCCTTTAGATTTCAAACTATTCAAACCTCTAATTTTGTTTTTTAAAGTACAAAACAAGCACAAAACAAATCCACACAGTAAGACTCAGTAAGCTCCTCACAGAGAAGGCACTCTATGGGAGTGGAAGGAAAGCATATGAATATATTCATATGGATATACAGAGAAATGCATGTGAGCGCAGTTGGCTAAAGAACAGTCCAGAACACGACCACCCGGAGCCCCGTCGATACCTGCCTCCTCCCACTTTTATTCTGGGCAAGAGGCAGCAGTAAGAAGGGCTACACAAATAAACACAGAAGTGAATTTTTTTTTTTTTTTAATTAGAAAGAACACCTGCCAAGCACTGCGGAAAAATTACAGGGAGGTCTCCAGGACTGGAGGGAGCCTCACCCTCTCCCGCGTGCCCATTCCTCCCCCCGCCCTGCAGGTTTCTTCAGGGGTGGGCATGTCTCAGAATTTCAGGGCACAGCGGGGTGACCAGTGCTGGGACCCAAGGGCAGAGCTGTGAGACGGGCCGGGGGTGGGGGAAGGAGGAGGGGAAGGGAGAGCAGGGGGGGAGGGGGAGAGAGGAGAAGGGATGGGGGAGGAAGGGGAGGGAAAAGCGGAGGGGAAGGGAGGGCAGGGGGAGGGAGGGGAGGGCAGGGGAGGGGAGCGGAGGGTAGGGCAGGGGAAGGGAGGGCCGGGGAGGGGAGGGGAAGGGGGAAGGGAGGGGAGAATAGTGTGGCTCTCACCAGTCCGAGCAGGCAGCTCCAGAGCAGGGCGGCCACGGGAGCCTGAGGGGAGCGCAGCAGCCCCATCCCGCGGGTGGGCAGCTGGGCGCAGGCTGCGCTGGCACTACCGGGACCTCTGAGATGCAGCCCGGACTTCCTCTTCCGGTCCCTCCCTCGGAGTGCTGGGCCGGGACTCCGGGGGTGACGATCGGCTCTGGGCGCTGCTCCTGGGAAGAACCTTTTAACTGTGTAAATCCCCGGTTCCCGTTCGTTTCACTCTAACTGCGGCCGCCGCCCAAGCAAAGCCGCTGGGCTTTGACCACCATTGGGGTTTTGCGTTCAATAAACCATCGGTATTTCACTGAGATTGGCTCTCGAGTGGTTTGTGTGGCAGTTCTTAAGGCTATCACATAGGCTAGTTTGCTGTGCCATCTCAATATTTCTGTGCAGTTTTTCTTTAAAAAGTATGTATTTATTATTTATTATGTATATGGATGATGTGTGCGCATAAGAGTGCATACACAAGAGTGTGGAAGTCAGAAGACACACAGAGTCAGTTATTTCTGTCTGCTCGCAGAGCGTGGGCTCTGGGGATAGAACTCACATCAGCAAGCTACTGAGCCATCTTGCCAGCCTTACATAGGCTTTTTTCAGTTTAAAAACTGTTCTGCTTACTTGTAAAAATGTCAGAATTTCCTTTGTGAGCAACATTAATTTGGAAGTTGAAAGAAGGGGAGGAAGATTGAAAGAGAAGAAGAGTATCAAGTCTGTGGTCTCAACTGTGAGCACGATTTCTTCCTAATCCTATCAGAATGTTTCCTCCTCATTCACAGCCCTTGTGAAGGATGAAGTAAAGAAAAAAGAAAGGTGAGTGGGAAAGAAAAGTGTAGAGGAATTTTAATCCAGCAACATGACTGCTCTGAACACACCCAAAGATCTTCCAGGTCTGTGTGATCCAGCTGGAATGCTGACACCCCTATAGTACACACCCAAACAATGAAAGTAAAGTTAGTTTGTGGAAGGAAGCAGCCATGTTTGAAAGTGATGTCTAATTGAGAGGCAGACAAAGTGATGAATCAGAGAAGATTTGACAGAGCAGGCTATGACCAACTCTCATGAGAAAAGTGAGAGAGTGTGTGTGCTTTGCTGGGACAGTTTTACATAGACAGATTGTAGAGAGAACAAGCTAAACACAGGTGAAGACAGAGGAGCCAAAGAATAAGGAGGCAGAAAATTAGAACAGATTGCTAGAGTTAGTTTGAGTCAAGCAGAGCAATTCAGTCAGAAGTGAGAGAATCCAGTTTGAATCAGTCAGATTGAAGAGGAGTTTGACCCAGAAAAGCTGAGTTGAACCAGCCAGCCAGAGTTCAGAAAGAGCTAGAAAGGATGAGCTTATTCAGCAGTAAGTCTCAGAGGCTGAAAATATTCCAGTCCTAGATTAGATTGTACAGGGAAACTAGAAGCTTCCAGGAATAGGCCTGGGTTAGCAGATGAAGGTAGTAAGCCTCCAAGACAACAATTGAATCAGGCAAATAAAAGTTACTTTTACAGTAAAGGACATTTGTTTACTGCCTTTATTTCTTGGAAAGCTGTGAAAGATTTATTTGAAGAATACCTGTGTGGCACATACTTTTGCATATATACATGAGAGAGAAGGAAGGTATCGGTACTTATATATTTTTGGTAAATGTTTATTTTTCTATAGAAACTGTATAAATACCCAACTATAGAAAATAAATGTCATTAGATTAAAGATCTACCTGGTTTATAAACATGTTTGGTGCATAGAAATTCTTTTATAGCTAAACATACCATATTGGACAATACAACCATTCCTTTTGTAGTTGTGTACCCAAGAGAAAAGAAAGCAAATGTTTGTGAAGACATATCTGTGAGGGACTAAGTGACTGTGTACTGATCCCAAACTATAAGCAATTCACTTGGATTAGATGTGGTTTGTTCGTGAAAGGTTCATGTGTTTGGAGGCTTAGTTCTCAGCGGCTAGGGTTGAGGCTGTAACACCTTTAACAGAAGGTGCCTGTAATGTCTTCTATGCTCATCCATGAGGTAAATGACAGAGCTGCCCCTTTGTAAAGGTGAATCAATTTTTATTGTGTATCATATTTTAAAATCCATCACTCTGTTATATATGTATATGTATATGTATATATATATATATATATATATATATATATATATATATATACTTCGTTTCTCTTTGTGTATGTGCATAATACATAAGCGTGTATAACATGTGTACGTATGTGTAACTTTGAATCCAGGTCCAAAAGCATGCAGTGTTTGTCTTTCTGCTTCTGGCTTTTTTCGCTTGATACAATGATTTCCACTCTGGTCCATTTGCCTGCCAACAGATGATTTTATAATGCAAAAAACTTGTATTGTGTACATGTATCACATATTCTTTACCTGTTCTTCCTTCAAGAAGCACCCAAGCTGGTTCCATTCCCTGGCCGTTAGTCTAAGTTGCCTTAGACTCCCTTGGACATATGCCCCAGTGTACCTAGATGATATAGGAGAGACCCACTTTAAGTTTTTTGAGTAACATCACCCAGGGCTTCAATGGTGGATATACAAATTTACATTCCTACCAATAAGGAATAATTATTCCTCTTCCCCCACTCCCAGCATTTGTTATTGTTTGTTTTCTTAATGGCAGCCATCTGACCCCGGGGAAACAGAGTCTTTGGGACAGAGTCTCATTCTATAACTTCTGGCTGTCCTAGAACTCACTATGTAGACCAGGCTGGCCTTGACCTGACAGAGATCTACCTGCCTCTGCCTCCTGAGTGCTGGGATTAAAGGGCTGCTTGTGCCAGCACACCTGGCTGAAACAGAATCTCAAAGAAGTTTTAATTTGCATTTCCCTGATGCCCTGGGGAGTCACCACTTTCAGGTGTGGTTGGCCGCTTGAGAGCTGCCTGTCTGCTTCATTAGTCTAGTCATTTGTTGTATGATCTGGTTTCTTGTATTTAACTTTTACAGTTCTTTATACATCCTGGCTATTAATTCTCTTTGTGATGTATAGTTGGCAAAGTTTTTGTTTTTGTTTTTTTTTCCACACACTATTGGGCCTATAGTATAGGTTGTCTACTCACTCTGGTGGCTGTTTCCTTTGCTATGGAGAAGTTTCTTAAATTCCTCTAATCCCTTTAGTCAGTTCTTCAGATTATTTCCTGCGTTGCTAGAGTCCTATCCAGAAAATCCATGCCTTTGTTGTTACAGATGCTTTGGTTGTTTCTAATCCTTGGCTATTGAGAACGATGCTATTTCAGTGATTATTTAGTCCTCAGACTCAGTAATTATCTTGCTGCCTGGTGAAATAGCAAGTCAGAGTTTCCTAGCACTTCTTTGTGGCAGAGGTTGTCTGGCTTTGGTCAGTTACTTTCCTCTCTGACACCTGTTCATGAGGCATTTCTCCTTGAGCAGAGGACATGACGTGAATGCTTCCTGGTTCACAGGCATGACTAGACATGAAGAGAAGCTGTCAACTGGGCTTTTGTCACTGTGAGCTCTGCTTTCTCGCTCACGCAGAGTCATTGCTTTCTGCAATGACTCTTCTCTTTGAAATGATGTCAGTGAAATAGCAGACACTTCCTCCATTAGAGGTAGGTTGGAATGTTAAGTCAGTCACAGAGAATTCTAAAAAGAAGCATTCGGTAGACCGAAAGGAGAAAGGATTTCACGTGCTACATGAGTGAAAGTACCACATTACCCAAGGTGATAGAACACATTCAGGATTTGGTTGTCTCTGCCTAGGAATCTTTGGTTAGTTGATTGCGTTTGTTGGATTTGTTTTGTTTTATTTGTTTTTATGGGTATGTGTGTGAGTCTCTGTCAGTGTATGTCATTTTTGTGTGTGTCCAGGCAGGACAGAAAAAGGTGTCACATTTCCTAGGGCTGAAGTTATAAGCAGTTGCGAGCGTCCCAAAATATAGGCTTCAAACTCTTCCTTCCTTCCTTCCTTCCTTCCTTCCTTCCTTCCTTCCTTCCTTCCTTTCTTTCTTTCTTTCTTTCTTTCTTTCTTTCTTTCTTTTTTCCTTTTATTATTAGGTTTTATTTCTTCACACTTTATATCCCAAACACAGCTTTCTCCCTTCTCTCCTCCTGGTTGTGCCCTCTCACCTTCTTCCTCCTTCCCTTTCCCCTACTTCTCAGAAAAGGGGAGCCCCCCCCCCCGTATCAACCCTCCCCAGAACATCAAGTCACCTCAGGACTGAGCATGTCATCATCCACTGAGGCCAGGCAAGGCAGCCATCTAGGGGGAAGGTGATCCAAAAGCAGGTGACAGGGTCCATGTCAGAGACAGCTCCCCTTGCTGGGGAGCTCATAAGAAGACCAAGCTGCTCATGGGTTACATGTGTGTAGGAGGCCTAGGTCCAGACCAGACATGCTCTTTAGTTGGTGCTTCAGTCTGTGAAAGGCCCCAGCCACTGAGTACTCGCTCCAGTCTTTCCTTAGGAATCTTTACCCTCTTAACAGGGTAAGGAACTTTTTCCCCCTTTAAGGCATGTTATTATGTATCTCAAGCTGTTTTCCAGCTTTATAACCTTGAACTTATGATCCTCCTTCCTTTGTCTCTTGAGCGCTGGGATTTCTGGCCAGCGGGAGCCACCTCTCCAAGTTTTATGCCTAGGGATCCAACCAGGGTTTCCTTCATGCTGGACAATAATCCTACCAAATGAAACACATTCCCAGTAGGTAACTAAAGCCATTTATTGAATGCAAAGCCAGGAAATGCTCACCAGTGTCTTACCAACTGTTTCTTGTTTTACTTTGGTTTTGGGTTTTGAGTCAGGGTCTCACTCTGTAGCCTGGGCTGGACTGGGACTTACAGCCCTTCTCCTGTTTAACTTCCTAAACAGGATTATTGCCATGAGTCCCATGCCTAGCTGTCTTTCTTTTGTTCTTTAAGCTTGTGCTCACTGCTTTTTTTAGATGCATTTTTATTATTTTATGTGTATGAGTGTTTTGCCTTCATGTGTGTCTGTGCACCACACATGCTGGTACTTGAGGAGACAGTGAGCCTCTATGTGGATGCTGGAAATTGAACCCGGGTCCTTTGCAACAAGTGCTCTTAACCACAAAGCCAACTCTCCAGCCCTCACTGCTTTGTTGTTGTTGTTGCTGTTAAGAATCTTTATATATTAGCCGATTTAATACATTTGAACTAGTTTCATGAGGTAAATTGTTGCTCCTATTTTTAAATTATTTTTAAGCTATATTACATATTGGATGTGGGGAGCAGATG